GTCTGATTGCAGCCATTTTTCAAGTGGCAACCCTCAACTTTCTCAGAACTTAGGACCATTTTTCAACCGTAGTTTTTAGCCCTTCTGCTCTCATATGAAAGCTCAAAGACCCAGGGAGTTGATCCTGGCAACGATTTACACAATCTCACCATTTTGGGGGCCAAACAATCTCCTTTTTGGGGGCACTTTTAATGCTAATGAGCTGGTCAAAAATTCTCACTTGAATTAGTGGTCTGCACCCTGATGCCCTCTCAGTGTGGTCTATAAGACCACACTGAGTGTGGTCACTCTTGAATAATGACTTGTGCAGGTATATGACTGAGTAGTGGGGCCATTCCAAAATGAAAAATAGGGGTGCTGCAATTTTTGACAGGAGTGGAGCAGTGTGGGTCCCTACAATCACCTCAACGGGCAACATGTGCATTCAAGGCATATTTTTACTACCAGTACACAGCAGGCATGACCATTTGGGCTCTTGGAACTTTTGTCTGTTTTTGTTTTTGAATAAATGCTTGTAGCCAGATTAGCCAATCTATTGAAGGCTCAAGGGTGCATAAAATTAGATGTCTGCTTCAAAATCATTTGGTTCGATTAACTGTTGGAAACAACAGTTTCAAATCTGAATCTATGGAAGACCTTGACAACGAAATCTGACAATGAACTCTGCTGGGCTTCCATGTTCTTCCATCTTTTTGTGCCCTTTCCATGTGGAAATTCTGGAAAACTTCAGTGGCTGTTAACAGTGCAGTAGTCGAGACCGCTTAAGACCTTCACAAGACCAACACAAGACCTCCAGTCAGTATTCAAGCCACAAGCTATTCAAATGAACTGCAACAAAAGTATTCCCTTGTCACTGTTCACCCTGTTACTTGTGCATGGTCTTGTGTCTGGTCTTGCGTCTGATCTTATGATGGTCTCAACTACCGTAGAACACTGGCTGTTAATCCCAAAATTCTTTGGTCTTTTTGCTGCATCTAAATTCTCCCAAATCGGCATTGTGCTGGAAACCGAGAGAATGTTCTTTCACTTTGAACTTTCGACTGGGCTCTACAGGTACCTTGTCTTTTTATTTCGAAAAATCCTCCTATGCCCTTTGAGGATTCTTTGAGGATCTGGGAGAGACCCCGCTACAGGCGCAGGTGAAGTTGGCCCGACTTCAATTCGGGACTTTTGTTTCTGCTTCAGGTCTCGGTCTAGGTTGGCCCATTGGGGTCAGAGGTCAGTATGAGGTTACAGCAAGTAAAGGGAAGATAAGACTAGCTGCCGAGAGATTGATGGCGACACAAATACCACAATGGGTCAAAAGTGAACACCCCACAGACTCAAAAGCAATAAAAAAAAGTTTAACGACACTTCAGGGAAGGGGGGATACATCTAAGTTTACCAAAGCAGGACTCTTATGGCTGATCATCCATAATGGATTAAAAGTCTGTGGTTGAAACATAATTTCCATCATGATTGATGACTTTAATTTTAGGGACCAACATCACGCAGGAACAAGGTCCAAAAATCCAATTGTACAGAAAATGTGGCTGTGCCAAAACCACTTGGATACGGCTGACATCAACACACACATCAATGGATCATTGAGTCAGTCGTTTCCATAAGACCATGTCTTATTGTAGGTATGGTTGTGATATTGGAGGTATGGTAGAGGCGATTTTAGGCAGTCCATCTGCTTGACATATCAGGCTGTCACTCCAAATACATACACACATACATGTACATGCGGATGAGATTTTTTTTCTTGTGATCAAGTCACGACTGATTTCCACTCATCGGAACCACATGCTGACCCGATGTTTTCTGCTTACCTGTGGCAGTTGTTGTTGTTGATTAATGGCACACACTGCAGACCGGTGCCCTGCGTGCCACAAACCGGTGGCGGCCCTACAACATTGAGCCCAGGCAACTTGTGTACCTTATCATGACGGCAGTGTTTAGAAAAGTGAACAGAATATCATGTACCTCAGCTCTGTAGAAGTAGATAGCCACGCCTCCACCAATTTCAAGCAGTAAGATCAAGCCCAGCAGACCGCTATACTGTAAAGAAAAGAACAAATTTCCAGCGTGACAAGAAGTTCCATGTTGGGGAACTAGAAAAACGTCTATCGGTAATGCCCTAATGTGAAGAGTAAACATCTGGCCGATATTCACTTAGTTCTTGAAAGTTGGCCTGAGGCAAAGTTGACAAATTACAAGAAGCCATGATTAAAAAACAAGGGCCTAAGTTATATGTAGGACTACAAACAGCTGGAGCAATTTTTGAAATATTGTCTTTGTGTCAGGCGCCCTCTGTCTTCATCTCAGCAACCAAATATTTACAGTTAGCTATTGAAATGTAGGTATCCTTAAAATGGCAAAATCTCCGAGTTTCCCTGTGTATGATTTACGCCACGTGTCAAAATGCTCATTGCTGATGCTTACGATTTTGAGTAAAACGATGTTCTCCCTGAGAGCTCCTATGCAGCCAAAGGTGGCAAGGACGAAGATAATCCCGCCCACGACCATGAACCACAAGACGGGATCGACGAGAGGCGAGGATGACAGGAATACATCCAGATCTCCGAACGCCCCCTAGAGAAACGGCCACAAACTGTACGAGGTAATATGCAGGAATGTGGGTGGATTTGCAAAAGGCAGTAAATGACATTTTTTACACACCTTGTTACTGAGCGATTTGCCCGTGTCCTGTATCAAGGAAATGTATCATGCTAAGCGGAAACGTCGCACTGCTGGTAATGTGAGCAAAGAGAGACGCTGTGTATGAGCTCCTTTTAATTTTCTTAGTCAAATTTGATGCAGCACTTGATAATCCGCTTTGAGCAGAAGCACCCCATCATTGGCTGAAAAGGGCCATGTTGGTGGGGAGTGCGCAAGTAACAACGTAACCGTAACATGTGCATTTCACAGTCGTTTGTGAACCAGTGATGTGCAGTCCCAACCAAAGGAGCCTCAGTTGCTGGGAAAATTGCACCCTCTCTTGTTCCTGCGGGGGGGAGGGGAAGATATAGTGTCATTATATTGCTTCTGTCACTACGGGGAGCGAATTCTACATATACCTTGGAAGTTTGCATGTACTGGTATATTCTTACCCCCTCCCACATCTGGCCCCTTCCCTACATGTACCTTGCAAAGAGCTGATATCCCCTCCCCTCTCCCCACAGCTGACCCCTACCCCACCTTGCAACAAGCTTAAATCTCCCCCCCTCCCA